GAACCAACAATGCACCCTACATGTCACCCCTGTCCTAACTGCATTTGCACAGCTATTTGTAAAGCTGCATTTCCAAACCTCATTTTCTTTACTTCTTGAATAAATTTCCAAGCTCTTCATTAATTCATTCTGCTTCCTGGAATGGAAACTCCACTGTCTGCTGACACTTTTGCTCTAAATGTCAGTGATGTTGAGCTTTGGCATGGATTGTGCATAAATTTTCTTCTGATGGGAAAAAACACGTGCTAATGAACACCCAGTTATCCTGAACATTTTGAAGACAAAAATACAGCTGGAGGCAGTTCTGCCACTGTAGTTCTTCACCATTTCTACATTTTAGTTGAGAACATTTTATTACAGTGTTTTGTCATATGAAACTATTCAGGTGTATCTGTGACTAGTTTGTTCTGGCTCATGTTTTTTCCTGTTAATCATGTTAGGCTTTCTCAAAGCTTGTAGAGGGTTTTCTCTGATCTCTCTGCACAGACCTGCATGGGATTTTTTTTCTTTAAACCATTAAGCTCCCCCTGCCCACAGCCTTGGGACTGTAACTGCACAAACAATCAATTTCAATGCTATCTCTGTGGCATTTTTCAAATTTATCATCTTCTAGGTGCTTTACTTTTCATATTATCATTAGATTGCAGAAGCCTCCATGTTATTTTAAAAAAGATGGGCACCGTCCTTCTGTTTGCATTCAGAACAAGCCATTGTAGTAAAACCATTCCAATGATGCTTTTTTCTGAAGATCCACAGAAATGGAAATTTGCTTGCTGAATTCTCTTCTACCTACGTGGAAAATGATTTTTTCATTAGCTACTTACCCCTCTAATATTTTTCACCTTGAAAACCCTTGAAAAACAGCCATTCTCAAATTGTACCTTTTCCTGACATATTGTCTTTTGCCACAATTTTCTTCTTTTGAGTTGTAGTACTTTTTCCTTTAAAGGTTTTCTTTTGTAAAATCTCTTAACCAACTAAGTGCATCTTGTCTACAACATATTTGTAAGTAGTCATTATTTTAAGAGAGTTCCAGTTGTGTGTGTGTGTGTATGTATACATATATGTATAAATATCTATAAATCTATGCCTCATGGTCCAGATTACTGTAGAAATCTTGGTATTACATACCATATCGATTACTTATTGAATAATGTATTGGCATCTTACTGCAAACTTCAGGAAAACAAAATGTGTCAGCTTGTCCTCTCCATGCTTTAAAAGCAGTTCAGCTAGCCACCATTGAGACATTACTGTGAGAGCCACAATGCACAATTAGTTGTGAACTGGACATCTTTTTAGCATTCTTGGCTAGACTGTTAATGAGGGAATAAATTGCACCATTTTATTTAGTCCCATACACTGGTTAAAATGGATTATTAAGCAAGGGACACAAAGCTATTCTGTCTCCTTCAGCAGAGGGACATCTGGGTGCAACATCTTTTCCTGCAGATAGATGAGCGTGATCCATCCAGAGATACCCAGGGATGTAATGTGATTCTATATCCCTGTTTACTTGAAAGGAATCAAACTGGCTAAAATACAGTGATGTTTACCTATGGAGAGAAATTAATATTCTGGGGTGCAATCTATTTAACTAAAGATAGATATTTACTCTGGAATGAGATAACTATCCAGGGTACATAAAAAGAAATACTTATTTTCATTGGCATTGCCCTTTATGACCAGACTAGGCATTTAACAGGCAATTTATCATTGCAGGGCTGTAATATCAGTTCTGTCATCCTTACTAGTCTCAGTTCTTCAGTGAGACTATTTACATGTTAAAGTATTACTCAGATGACTAATGGGGCCAGCACTGAGGTTATGTTGCAAGTAGAGAGGAAAGACGTTTCCATTAGCTCTAAGCCTTATCTCACAAAAATCACTGGAGACTGGCACTTCCCAGAGGTTCTGCTTTCTCTTGATTATCATCCCTTCTTCCACTAATTGATTCTAAGCAGTTCAGCTTCTGTTACTTAGTGGAAGAGTATTTGTCTCTTTCAGAGATTTATTCATGAAGTCACAAGAAAGTCTGTGCTTAGGTATCAGGATTTTTGTGTAGTGTGCAAGCAAACAGATTACTAGGGAGTTGGGGGAGCTAACGCTGTGGAACATGGGAGAATGTAACTGAAGATAGTGCAGTGGTGGAGGGGCTCATGTATGGGACACAGAAGAATGAGGAGAGGGGAGAATTAGTTAGGATCAGGATACTTCAGAAACAAGGAAGTGGATATACCATCCAATGAGGATAAACTCAGCCAAAACCTTTAATGGCCCACTTACTTAAGCTGGACACCCTGTTCTGATTTTAAATGTTTGTGATGAGTAGACTTACATAATACTTTCCTGTGGAACAAGAAAAGAAGGAACATGGTTTCAGTTAAATTTCGTTTGGATTAGCATGACAATTCTACCCTCAGATGAAAGAAAATTGGATTCTTTTACCGTGTTATGCCCCATTCTGTGCTCCACTTGGTACGTCTGCCACTCAGTTCTACACTGCAGTGGCACCACTGGGTCTTTTCTCTAAAAACTGGCATTTGAGCCTAACTCAATTCCCTAGACTAACAAACAGAAGAAACTGATCAGGACATGAAAAAGAAACCACAGAAATGTGTCTTGTGGGTCTTGTCCCATTACTGTGAGTTGTCTAGGTCAGGTTTTGTTGTAATACAAGCACAAAGATAGAAACTATAGAAAGTCACTTGAAGCAAATAATTTAAAGAGAATGTATTCACAGATGTAGAAGCATTCATATACATTGATTTTTAGTTTTAAAATACTCTTCTACAAAATATGGATTTTGTTATCAATATAGGAATATTTCTGCATCCCTTTATAAATCTTACTGAACAGTTCCTTAAGGACATATGAACAATCATCAAACCTGTGTATATTGTCTGTGCAAAGGCACAGATCAGCAAAGAACTGGCTTATATCACCTGCATTTATTTTAATAAATTAATTTGTTCTAATACGCTTAATAACAACATATTACTGTACTGTTTAGCCTTCCAGTCTAGTGACTCAAATTATATTTTTACAGCATCTTACCTCATTCTCATTTCTTAACACTTTACTACTGACTCATTGACTACTAAACTTTCTTAGTATGGATTAGGTATACCTAAACCATCATTTTGAAGTTAGCACAAATCATTTTGCATTTTGCATGGGGCATCAGAGAAAGTGATGAGCTTTTCTCAAGTACCAGCTTATGCTGAAGAATTCCAGATTCACCTCCTTTCCATCTTCAAAACCCTGTGTGCAGTGATGTTGAACTCAGTATTAAAAAAGAAATAGACCTCTGTTGGCTTTTTGCTAGCATTTTGCTCTTCACATGATACTCCTTGATTCATAAATTGTGCAGCCACAAGGAACCCTTACAATCCCATCTTGCCTGAAGCATAAACCTACCCCGATTTAATTTCTGTTTGAACTTTGAGTCTTTTGAGGGAGAAGGCGTCTTAACCCTCTGTAACAGAAAGTTCACCATTGGAGAAGCTACTCCAGCTGTTTCCATCTTACTTCTAAAATATGTGCCTATTCCTAAGTTAGAATTTTCCAAATTCCTTTTCACAGCCACTGGATCTTTTTATACCCTTGTCTGCTGTCTCGAAGAATCTACTACCAAAATTAGATTTCCTTCAGAGGAACTGTAGACTGTGATCAAGTGACTCCAGTAGCTTAATTGTCCTGAACACCCAGGTCTTCCAGAGAAAGGCATATTTTGACTGTAGAAGAGTGCAATTACTCTTCCAAAAATTAATTTCATTACAGAATCATAAAGCATGGTTTCCTCATATTAAGTGGAGTGTTCATTTGTCCTTATTCTGTAGCCCTAGGAGGGAGGGAAAGGAGAAGCCCTCTCTTTGATAGTTTGCCTTATTCAGGCTCCCTTATTTATGCTGCAGGTGACTTAATGTCTGGCAGCATTTTATATATCTCCTGCCAGCTCACTCAAGGGAAGCTTGCCTTGATCTACATCAAAGTTCAGCTGCCTAAAGCCAGGGAGGTACCTACCCAAATTTTGGTGACAGTACCATACAGGCTGTTGAAATATACGAGCTTGAGATGCCTCAAATTTTGCTTCAGGGTAAGCCTAAACAGAAAAATAGCTGAACTCAGTGAGGGTACTTCTAATTACCAGCTCCAGACAGCCACATGGCTCTAGTGAAAGGACTCACTCAAAGGTGCTGTTCTTTTAAGCAGGCAAAGCTTCCATTGAAATTACCATCACTGAGATACCTCATCAGCGCTCTAATGTGCAGGAAAGTTTTGCTCGCACAAGGAATACCTGATTAGGTACCAAATGAGTTCTGTTCCTTTGCCACCAGAAGCCATTTGAAATGACACTGGGAATTCAATAGAGAAGGCAAAGCCAATCTGTAATTTACACCAGCACCGTGGCCCCCATGGACTCTGGCTGTGTGCAGCACTTAGGCAGAGGGCTGGTATTGAAGGGACAGGGTCCTTTCCTGCCAGGCAGTGCTGGACCCTGCTGGACCCTGTCAGTCACAGCTCAGCAGGGAGGTCAGAGGACAGGAAAACCACGGCACAACACCTGCCCAAGGAGTGATGGGAATAGTTGCCAGGTGGTTGTAGAGCATCCGGCCATGCCAGCTCTGTACCTGCTGCGTGCATTTGGCAGCACTCACCGGTCTTGGGAAAACCACCCCACAAACCATTGCTGGGAAATGCTTGCAGGATGGTTAATAAGCTGTGGAACAAAGTTAGGTGGAATTTACTCCACCTTCGTGATGTTAAGGAGACAAGGCAATAAATACTTTGTACCTTTTCCCATCAGGAATACTTGACAATCCTACAGGAATTTTTCTATAGTAGAAATTAAGGACTTGTTTAAATATGAGCTGTGAATGTTGTCTGTTTGTTTCTGGGGTTTTTTTTAAATCTACTCCTACATCTATGGGATTAAAATTTGTAGAAAACACACTGAACTCTCCTTCTTAGCTCTACCTCTTCTCTTGAATGCTTAGATCCCTATGTGAAGATCCATCTGATGCAGAATGGAAAGAGGCTGAAGAAGAAAAAGACTACAATTAAAAAGAACACTCTGAATCCCTACTACAATGAGTCTTTCAGCTTTGAAGTACCATTCGAGCAAATTCAGGTAATGTCAAACAGTGTTTTGTCTTTCCTCTGCATTCCATTTCTCAGCCCTTATAAATATTTAACAGGAATCTTGTTAATTATCACATGTGCATGCCTTCATTAGCACCTAGGTGCCAGCCCTGTGCTACATTAGATGAGTGTGACTGCTTCAAGAGGGAAATGATAAAATGTGAAGTACTTAGGAAGCTTTGATTCATCAGTGAGAAATGCATAACTGACATTTTCTGTTAACAGAAATGGATTTGGGGAAAAAAAGAGTCCACAGGGAGATAGTGAAGGAATGTGCCAGCCAAAAGGTGTAGGGATAAAAGAAAAGCTATATATAGCATTTTTCCCTAAAATATTTAAAATAATACACTGGCATTATCAGATAAATTTGTGTTCCTTATGCATTTATTTGCCCTGTTTTTTGAAAGCACTGCAGCCGCCATTTAAAGTAAAACACCTAATTCATACACAGCTTTTTTCAGGAATTATTCACTACACTTTGAAAACTTTTTCAGTGATTCCTATGTCTCTTGGAAAAAGGCATTTGAGAATCTTAGGGGTCAGTACTGCAGTACCTGTTCTCTTAGTTCCTCAGGAGAGCTCCAGCAGTTGTCCAGATACTATTCCCAGAGCTCAGTACCTAAAATTAAGAGTCTCAGAAGTCAGCACAGTGAGGTGGAAGTCACCTGCAGTAGTAGTGGAAAATGCCAGGACAAAGCATTGTGTAATTTTTTTCAGGGACTCAGTCGCCTATCTTTGAGCTACTGGGAGGCAAACCATCTCTCATGAGAGAGAATTAACTTTTTTTGATGTTAACTGTCTTTTATCTCAAGAGAGAAGCTTTTTTTTAACCATCTCAGGAGGCATGTGGGAGAAGAACTGCAGGCTGGCTTCCCACCTGGCCACGGAGCCCCAAGACTGTGGAGATGTTAGGCAATTAAAAAAACCCAGCTTTTCTGGGTGCAGCTGAGTGGGGAAAGGGTCCTTTCAGGGGCCTTCCAGTTTAAATGACCATAAGTTAAAACATCTGGGAATACATCATGCTGTGGATTGTAAGAGAGGTCATAGTATAAATTAGGTGCCATGCTTTTAAACTTGTAGTTTAAAAGTTTTGATGTGTTAAATTGCTTGGACAAAACTTGGAGCCCTCTCTTCATTAGATGAGAGCTTGGTATGGGTTTTCACATTGTGTATCTTGGATTTTGGTAGCAACTGGGCTGGAGAGCAGCCCAGGAGCCAAGGCCTACCTTCCAAGTAGCTTGCATTTCATTGACTTGGCGCTAACAAAAATAATAAAACTAGACAAGGTGAAGCATGGGCGCAGTGACTTGGATGCATGAGTGGTCCATTTAGAATTTCTTCGTGCCGTGCTGCATGTACAGGTGTCTATGGATTCTAGGAGTCAAAAAGTGGGAAATCCAGTGGGGGCTAATTTCTGTTGATTTTAATGAGAGCTGGTCTGTGTGCTTGTGGAAGATTTCACAACAAGGATCAAAGACCCAGAGGCAAAAAGAGATTAATCAAATCAAGTGGCAGTCTTAGGCCACTTATAACATACTAGTGATTATCTTATTCCCAAATAGAGATAAGATTAAGGAGGTGGAATGGTTACCTCCAAATTACCCTATCAAAACTTTGGCATGGTAGGGCACATTTTTGGTACTTGACCACATTGCCTTCTAATTCAAAGTAATTTTTTGAGGTGCATGTAGTTTATTTTTAAGTATTGTGGTTTAGAGGTTTAAATTTTAGCCTTTTTTTAAAATAAGTTTATTAGAATTACCTTTTAGCTATCCACTTGACTATATAGCCCCAATTTTAAATCTGCAATTATGGACTTTGGTCATTTACCAATGTATTTCGAGTTAGTTATAAAAGACTACATTTAGACTACTTCATGATGGATATTGAAGTGATTTCATCATTAGAAAAACTAATTTTAAATGTTATTTGGACTTACTATGGTAGGAGTCACTGTGACCTGTGCTATTCATATAAAAGTCATTAAGCAAACTTTCACTGTCAAAAAATAATGGTTATACAAGTTTCTTGATTGTTGGAGAATGAAGAGAGGTCATGGAGGGAAAGCAGGTCAATAGCAGTACATCTGTGTAATTTTAAAGGAGCCAAACGTTAACATTTTCAACAATTTTACAGTGACTATAGGTTCTGGTTCTTAAGAGGAATAAAGTGATGTCTTCAAGGGTAATGGGAGAACACCACAGGGAAGTCAAATCCTGTTGCTACTGGCAGATCAGGCACGTGTTTTGCCACATGCAGAACAGACTACCTCTGTAGGCAGCAGTGTCTCCAGGCCCTCTCAGTCCAAAGGGCTTAATCACACCATGGAAACTGCTAATCCAAGTGTTTATTAGGAGAGGCAGTTCTTTCTACTAGCACCTCTTGGGTTTTGCCATGCAGCTGCTCCTTTAATATGTGGTACAAAGGCAAAGTGATGCTCACATTTCTCTGTAGGTTTAGTCCAGAGATCACGAGGGGAGAATCATCTCCAAGTTAATTATCTGAGCTGGCTGTTCTTTACGTCTTTGTAGAGCAAGGAAAAGGATCCTTCATTTACAGTGCTCATTTATGTCTCATGATTAACATTAAACAAAAAAATAGTAATAACTATCCCCAAGCTTCTAGGTACAGCAGGCAAGCTTTTTTTTTTTTTTTTTTTCAAAAAAAAAAAAAAAAATTTTTTTTTTTTTTTTTGTGCAAAAAAAAATAGTCTCATGCTTACTTTTTACATCTGTGAATGTACAATGTATTGTAAAATGTAAGTGTTCATTTGGGGAGGTACCATTAAAAGTGAGTGTATTGCAAACAGCAACACTCACTTTTTCAAATGTAATTCTGGCACCTAGAAATACCTGCTTCAGAATATTGCCTTTTATTGCGAGTGCTCTGGGGAGGGAAAATCTTGAGTTTGATTTATACTTTTGTCATCAGCAACTATATAAATACTTAAGTGCCTGCTGGAATCATCTCTTTCTCTGGCTCAGTGAACTGTACAGTCCTGAAAGGACTTTTTACTTTATAAAATAAACCTCATGACCCTGGTCTTGCTACTTCTAAAAGATAATCCTATTACAAGCCCTGAAATTAATCATTCTAGTAAGAGGTCCAGATTGTAGATATACTTAAAGCTTTAAATTTAAAAGCCCCGTTCTAGAGAATAGAGGATTTTTTTCTGGAAATGTGTTTCAGGGCATTCTTCCTTCTATTCAGGAAGCTGACACTGGAATCAGGAAAAGAACTGTATGCTCATTGTTAAAAATAAAGCTCTATAAGGAGAAGTGCTTACAGTTTTGTAAAATAAGAGTGAAAGTCTCAAGTGGTGTTACAGGAGAACACCACTCCACTGAAGGCATAGCTGTTTATGCTTTTCTGACAATTATTAAAGACCCGAAAGAGAGGAATTGTGTGTATGTGCACACAACTACAAACATAAATGCCTGGCTCAAACACTTCCCAGTGTTCCCCAGCCTAAACGGATGGAAAATTGTCTATGAGCTGTGACAGATGGGCTCACACAAACCATGTGGGACCTGTTTAACCCTGTTTGCCAGAGGTCACCATTCCTACAGAAGTGGCACTGCAGCATCAGCTCAGTCGTAGGCTGTGCCAGTGTCAGAGCCCTGACACACCAGGGGTTTATACATCCATTCCAGCTCCCTTAAGCAGCCAGCCTGTTTCCTAGATTTCTCTGTAAATACACAGAATATACACAGTATACACACATGCTTGTACATGGGCACAAGTGCTCACATGTGCATAGAGACAAGAACACGTGTGTGTAGTAACCATAAGGGCTATCTTCTAAATTTATCTGAAAATACCTGACTAGCATACTGAATGGATGGGTCAGAGTTGCTAAGAAGTAGAAAAACAACTAACAGAATGGAGTACAGCATTGCAAACATAGAGCTATTTGTGAATGTTAGTTGTTAACTTATTTACTTAAAAAATAAGGGTGTGTAAAATTGCACAACTTTTGAATTAACTCACCTGTAAGTTGTTAATCTGTTAAAGGAAAACAAATTCCATATTAATCTATTCAATGCAAGGGGGCAAGTTCCAAGCTAACAGGGAGGTGGTAAACCTGATTTTATTTGGAAGGCTCACAAGAAGCAAATACAAAAGTTTGAATTTGCCTCTCATTAGGGGAATCTAGAATCTACTCCAGCTGTCAGACACTTCCCCCTTCATGATTTCTCCGTGGCTGGCTGTCCCACATTCATCCCTGCCAGCCTTCCCCTTACTGTCACGCTCACTGCTCTTTCTCTGTCTCACTACAGAAAGTGCAAATTGTTGTGACTGTTTTGGACTATGACAAGATTGGCAAGAACGATGCCATCGGGAAGGTCTTTGTGGGCTACAACAGCACCGGCGCGGAGCTGCGGCACTGGTCAGACATGCTGGCCAACCCCCGGCGGCCCATCGCACAGTGGCACACCCTACAGCCCGAGGAGGAGGTAGATGCCATGCTGGCAGTCAAGAAGTAAATTAAATTAAGTTAAATTAAATTAAATTAAATTAAATTATGAAGAAGAAAAAGACGAAGAAGCCTTTCTGCATTTGCCCACATAGTGCTCTTTAGCCAGTATCTGTAAATACCTCAGTAATATGGGTCCTTTCATTTCCAGCCATGTGTTCTGACACAGATCAGTTGTACTTTAAAATTCCCATTTTAATTTGCACAAATTTAAATGTAGAGAGCCTTTTAAAGGCGCTTCATTTCACCACTGCCCGCCCCAGATCTACTCTTCTTTTAAGCAATATGATGTGTAGATAGAGCATGACAGAAATTATTTATTGTATCACACAGTTGTATATATACATCAGTATGCTGAGAATTTATTTCTAGTTTGTGTATTTGTATGTTGTAAGCGTTTCCTAATCTGTGTATATCTAGATGTTTTTAATAAGATGTTCTATTTTAAATTATGTAAATTGACTGAGATATAGGAGAGCTGATACTATATTATAGGGTAACTATTGTATCGTCTGCATTCCAGAAAAAAAAAATATCCAACTTGTAAGGCACTAGTAGTGTTACACTGACATCTTAAAGGACAACTTAAATCTGAGCTTTCAACTGGACCATCCTAATAACACACTTCACGTCCACAGTGAATCTTGGAGGGGCAAATCCAATTGGGTAGACTTCTTTCACAGGCAACTTAGCATGATCTGAGCAGTTCCATGGTTGATCTCATGGAGATGTAGCCAGAAGCCAGGATATAATTTTTTTGTATATATTCCAAAGCAAACACATAACAGACTGAAATGGCTTTAGATTCAAAGCTGAGGAAGCAGTTCCACAGGAGGCAACGATTTCATCCAACATACAGAGACAGACCACTGCAGAAGTGCAGGGAGGGGGAAGAGGGAAATGCGGCAGTAGTAAAATGCTGCCATGAAAACAAGAGTAGCTCTCCATTATCACCTTTATACAAAATTTGCATACTGTGAATTCCATCCACAATTTCACATTATAATGAGTTTGCACATTAGACTTTGTAACAAAATATTTTATGATACTAACTCAGATTAGAAGGAATGCAGAATATTTTTTAGACACAGCCGTGTGAGTTTACTATACAAAATAGTTTCATGGTAAACAGACAGTATTGTAATCCCATCAGAAGATGACAAAATTTAGCCATAGTTCTAAATGCACTTCAAAGTAAGCCAAAAGAGAACAGCTAGTGACCTTTTATATACTATTTATACTTAAGTTTTAATTTGTCCTTTAAAAAAAAAGTGAAAACAAAGAACAAGTTCTAGAAAACTGAAGCAACCTCTTCTGTATACTAGATGCTCGTTTCAGGAGGAGTTTTTAAATGTTTTAAATGTTATTATGTAGTAAATGGCACTATTATGAAGCTATTAGTCATTCCATAAGAGTCTTGAAAGACTGCTCTGTGTATCACTGTGACTGCCGTGTGTGCTTAGAAATGTAGTTTTCTCAGTGGATAGCAATCAATTTATTCCGTAGTGATATTGTAATAATACTGCCATTCCCTTCTACTGCACTGCCGAAGGAACGCATAGCACAAGCAGTTCCAGTTGTTACGGACCAATGTAGAACTGGAGAGCTATGCAGGGGACAAGGATGCTCTAGTGAATGGGTTGACCACGCAGCATTTTGTCAAGCTCTGTGCAATACTCTACGTTTCCAAGCGCCCTCGCCCCTGCTGCTTTCCCGTAGAGTCATCTTACAGCTCCCCAGCATGGCACCTCCGCTGCACCATCTCATCAAGTCATTCAGGGCATCACCTCTAGCTCATGTACCGTCCTGGGAGGCCCCTCGCTTATCTTTCCAAGCTGTGAATATATTTGTAATGCTTTGAAGAGGTCATTATTTTCAGCAATGCAAATTACCCTAGAAATGTGGAAATGCTATTGCTTTTGGAGGGCGGCATGAGAATTAACCATTAATGTTCTTATCGGTCTTCTGTGTCTAACAAAGATGAATGTAATCGGAGAACTGTGCACTGCAAACTGAATTCCACAGCCTCCCTCAAGGCTCTGCTTCTGGGAGAGGTGTGACAGTCTCAGAGGTCAGTGCAGGGATGGCCAAGCATCCCTGGTTTTCAGTACTTAGATGGTAAAAGCAGCAGCAAAGTACTGGGAGGAGAATAAAAGCCTGTATCTCTCCCCACCTCCAAAAGTGAGAATAGCAAGATCCATTTTCTTTCTTTTTTACATGAAACATAGAAAAAACACAAGCGAGACATTTTCTGATAGAAACAGGCACATACATGCAAAGCATCAAGCTGGAATATTTTAAAATCTTATCCTTAAGGACCAAACCCCACCAAAGAGAAGAAATAGACAGTCAGCTTTCCAGCCTAAGAGCTTCATGGTCTCCAGCTTTCAGTTACTCATTCAGGATAGCTGCAGGTTCAAAGTGCCAGGACTGACTTACTGTGTTAAGGTATTCTTAATGCTTTCTCTTCCTACACTGCCAGACTGAATGTCACCCTAGAACTGGTTTGTAAGGTACAATGATTCTCAGAGACTGAACCTGCCGTGTGACCAAGATGACATTTTTCATCCTCAAAGAAGCCACATGTACCTTTCTGACAAAGCTGTGTGAAGTATTAGAATCTGATGCTGTAGAAAGATCCTAGTTGCCTTTGTGTATATTTACTGCCTGCTTGAGTGTTTCTCTGTGTGGGTTTTCTCTGTATCTTGTAGAAATGTTTGGGGTGTTTTATCCTGCCATATCGCTCGTGGCCCGCGAGCTGACAACTTTAGCCGTATTTTACCTTCATTTTTGATGAGGTGGTTTATATTTTGTTTCACTTTGTGTAGTGACTCCCCACAGTAGAGTTTTCCAATTGTTGTTAAAATAACATACATATTACACAGATATTCAATAAAAATGTTTTATTTCCTGTTGATGTTCTGGTATTTCTCTTTTCATCTAAAATTTTGAAAAGACAATTCACTCCAGGATTTTCACACAATCACATACTTTGAAGTGTCACAAGTGAAATAGCACAGCACGTTTCGAGGGGCTGTGAAAAGCTGCTTTCATCAGTAAGACAGTCACAGCCAGCAGCGCTACAGTAGATGAATTCTCCACCTCTGTTGCAGATGAAGCACTATTACCTTGTTTACCCAGGTGCCTGATTATTTGCCTCAAAAACCATCATCCTCTATCAAAACATGACCATGACAAAAACTCCCAAGTAGTTTCCTACACATCAGTATTCTCCCAGACAATTGTGCTAAAGCTGTGGTTGAAGTTTTCCTTCAGAGCAAGATGGTATATTTTAACCTACATCCAAGTGATACTTCTAAGATGACCATAAAATTAAACCTCTTGTAGACTAAAGATCATTAAGTAAGTGCTTAAACTATGGGGGAAAGGTGCAGCAGGGAGAAGGTATTTCAGGTTCTACATGCACCAGCCATTTTTGCAGCTCTTAAGAATACCAAGAAGACATCTTTGTCAATCAAAACCAGTTCTTTCAACAGAGTAATCAGTTAAAGTCAGTCATTACAACTAATGTAAGGAAAAATGCTTCATATAATAGCTGTTATACTAAGTGGGGAAAGCAGCAAAAATTACCAATTTTATTCAGCTCATTTAACCCCTAATCAACTGTCAAGACAAACATTCTTCCCAACTGTCAGATTGTTACCAAAGCAAAGTGTCTGTCTCTCGATCACTTTTCACATCATGAGTCAATGAAAGTTAATTGCCTGTTAGTTGTGCAAAGCAAAAAAATTAAACCAGTTTATTTTTGATTACTCTAGCAGCTCTGTTTTATTTATTTAGGCTTTACCATTTCCACTCCAGGCTGCCAGTTCAGTTTTACACATAGTGACCTGCTTTTCAGAACATGAACCTACCAAATGCACATCCAGCCCCACTTTTCAGTATCTGTTCAAGAACTGTTGCTCATCTAGGCACTGAAGAAAGTATGAAAAAGGAGTTTTCTGTACATGATACCAAAGTTTTTAAACAGCCTTCATAACCTTTACCTTATATGTATCAAATCTTTATCTTCAATACAGAGAATACTTTTAATATTGCATCAAAAAGTAGTTCCAACAGCACATGACAAACTGGTACAGAGGACACTAACTCTGTGTAGCTCTTTGTCACTGACATGACCCATACAAAGAGATGTATGCCAAGATTATGCTGTGTTCAAGATAAAAAATAAAGTTCTACAAACTAGGGGATGAACCAGATGTCCTTCATGGAGCTTACAGAGGCCAAATAAATTGGGGAAGTGAAGATAGTTCTTCCATGCTTCTGGGGTGAAGGTGGAGGGTACAGCTAGTACAGTCTTTTTTTCCCTCTGCATGCAGTGAATGATAACATGCTGAGATTTTGAACAGCCATTTAGCAAAAAAAAAAAAAAAAATACACCTACCTTACCAAATGAAGAGTTTCATCTTCTGACAGAACCAATCTCATCGGTTTGACAGCTCACATTTAATTTCAGATCTTTGTACAGTGTCTTATTACTTACAACAAAGAGAGCACACAGTAGGCGATGATGCACTGCTGTTATAGCACCAAATGGAGCTGACACCAGTTCTCCTCATAAACAAAAGGCCAATGCACAGAAGTGGCAGAACAGTCTCTGCTCTCCTAATCAAGATTATCCCACAGTCCTGCACAGACCTGAGTTTGCTTGCATTCCCCCTGAGCCCAGGGAAAGTTCTTCTATCCATTATGTTTACAAACATGTACCTTAGCCTAGGAGGTTTCATGGCCTTCCTAAGGAGCAGCAGCACCCACTGGCACCAAGAATTTGTTCCAAAACCATAACATGGATCTGTCATTGAAGACTTCCAGATTGAGCTCAGGCTATATTTGTCTTCTTCAGCAATACACCATGATCTGACACTGATTAATGGGCAAAAGCTCTGATGGAATGCTATCAAGGAAATTAAGCAATCAGAGTGACTCACAGAGTCCTTTTCATGGATTAAATGAAGATTAAATGGTCAAATTTCAATATAGTCTATGATTAGGGGTGAGGTGCTAAAGAGGTTCAT